TTTAGTGCTACAGTACTACTTAGGCTGTATATGAGGTTAAAGGTTGAGTGAGTTTCTCAAGTACCGCACAGCAGCTGAAATTATTTTATTTCCCAGCCAAGGGCAGTAAAATGCAATTACATTTCCACCGCGTAATTAATACTAGGCACGTAAAAAGGCGTTACTATAAACATTAGGGATACATCATAAAAATTTATCTATAACACGCACTGTCAGCGTTGCCTGTTAAACCACTTGCATAACTAAAAATGTATCACTTTTTAGTTACATGTGTATTCGGTAATATGAGATGTGTATGATACATATTCTTCGCTAAGTCCCCAAAGTCAATCTTATAATGATTCTTACTTAGAATGATGCAGTACAAAAAGAAAGATGATGAATTACTCTGAAAAATAAACGAGTAATGGTAATTTTTAAATTCCACAATATTCGCATTGGTACGTCGGAATCAAAATAAAATAATTCATGATTTTTTTTTTTCACGATAAGCAATAATATAATATGATTTTAACATAGTTGTTATTGCAATGTAGTTTATTATCTCTATTTATGTAGACTGTATCAATTAAATTTTCAAGAACTATAAGTCTCCCCATTTATTGGAAATAATAAATAACTACTATTATATATAATTGACTAATATCAATGATCACCGTAATCGTTTGATCACCCCGAATGTCATAACTTGGCATATACCTACAACGGTTTACCAGTTTTAGAAAAAACAAAAACATACATATTTAATGCATATATATTTTAATGCATAGCTTATATAGAAATATGCACGAGTTCTTTAAGTACTGCTATTGAGCACTCCCAGGAAACTAAGTTTCATTTTTTCTCAGAAGTTATTTATTTCACCTTAAGATAAAAATCTTGCATTCCTATTATTTTATAGGTACTAATTCTCCTTCAAGATGTGTTTTTCAAATTAATCTCCATGTATTTGAGCACTACACGCCAAGTCCGTGTTTATAGTGAGAAATAACTGTTTAGAGAAAACGAATAAAATCTCCGTACTTTGCCCGTCAAGTAAGAAAATTTTAAAATAGAGTAGATTTTTTTCCCTTATTTTTAATATTTATAGTTTTATTAAATACTATAGTAATATCATGTAATATTTTGGCCAAACTGGTAAAATCAATTAAGAAAATGTTTTTTGACATTCATAACACTATTTTTAACGTTTTGCTATATTTATAAAATGTAAAATTTCATAATTTTTCTATAATATTCAGAGGTTTGAGAAAAAAAAATGGCAGCTGTCAAGAAAAACTTGTAGGAATTTATAAACTTTAATCAAACAAATAAAACGTTTAGAATACCTATAAGAATAACAAACCTTTTAAGGGCATTCTCATTAAAAGTTTTAAAACAAAGTATTTGAGTTATTATAATAAATAATTTGTTTTAAATGTTATTATTTTTACTTGTTTTATTAGCTTGGAATTATTTTAATAGAATTATGAAAGTTTGATAAATTATAAAACATTTAGAATAATTTTTCCAATCATATATTAAATAAAATAAAATTAACTGTGATTTTTTATAATCATCTTATCAGTAGCTATCCCAAAATACTTCAAAAGGAAATTGGAAAATCAGAATTGTCACGACTTACTTAACTTAATATACTAACAATAAATAAAAAAAATTATAAAATTTATATAACTACTTCATTACAAAGTCCTCCACAATGGTAGTCCTTCAATCTTAATTTCTCGTGATTATTATATCGTAATATTATTAATTTATCTATACACATATACAACATAATATATTCGTCTAAATAAAATATGTATAATATACATTGTATATATATAAGCACATTATAATTATTTATAAGCAAACATAATATTTAAAATATGTTGTTAAGCCCATTCTGAGTAATTTATAATTATTCATTAAAATTTAAATTTAAATCCATATCAAGTTTTTGTGTATAATTCACTTTTAATTTATTCGAAACGAAATAAACACAACTTATATTAGTTTTTATTTTGTCCAATAGTTGTTAAAGTATGGTGATTTTAAAGTTTACTTATCACTTTTATAAAATGTATCGTACTATTATTGTGAACTAATAGAAAAAACGAATGTATTTATTCTAAGAGGATTATTTAATGCTTATTGGTTTTCTACTTTCAGTGTCTAGTCTATTATACACAATCCGTGTTTAGTCAACATCGTTAGATTATATGAGTAATCAAGTCAATGACATTCACAATGGGAGTAATATTGCGGTTGAGTTTGCTACACAACTAGATTGGTCCTTGTGAGTATACAGTACTGGTCATAATGTTTTCCTATGCTATAGTTTTTATCCAGCATACTTCGGGCACTGGATGAACTGTGATCAAAGGCCTTCTAGCTAATGTCATAGTTGTACCTTTGGTGGAGCACTAGCATATTATTTTGGATACTGTATGAATTGTGAACCAAAGCTAGTTCGTGTCCAGAGGCAAGGAATTTAAACATTTACAAATTACTAGGTTAAGCTAATAAAACCAACCGACAATCCCGGAAAACTATTTTCAAGTTATTTTTAAACATAGAATCCTCATGGTTTACCAATACCATACATATTAATTTATGCTTGTGTTTCTATATCAAATGTTGTTCAGCGTTATAAAAGTTTGCTGCAAACAGTATAAATACATTATTTATTTATTATTTTGTTAGCATATTTTTCATCGCTCTGATAGAATATGTAAAGGGTCTTGGATTTGAAAAGTTATGAACTTGAATGCTGTAAGTTCAAACATCGAGTTAGGTTAAAAGATCGTTTTTCCAAATATTACACTTTCGAAAGGTCATAAATGTTTGAAAATATATCGTTTGCGCTAATACGAAATAATAATAACTCTATAGACATTAAATTATATTGCTATGCACTGCATACATTTATATATATACATACATATGAATACGTGCGAAGTACATTCAATACATTTAGATATGAAGTATATACTATATATTATTATTGGTTTATCTTCTTAGAAAAAACATATAAGCATTATTAATTTTACTTTGCTAATATAATTTACACTCAAGTATTTTTTTTCCAACATTTAGTGAATCCTGTTAAATCAGTCCAAGAATATCCTGTTTTTATTTTAATTGCTATTCGTGTTTTATTATTTAATCCAAATATTATTGAACTTTTACAAGGAATATCATACATTTTAAGTGTACATATAATTTTTTAGGAATTATTCAATACATTTTACATATTTTTTTTAATTTTTTTTTCATGCAAAAAAAATGATTAAAAATTTGGAAATATTAAAAATATAATATTGTTCAATATTCTGTAATTTATGATTTTATTTCACTGACAGACAAAATAATTTATTCTATAATATGTTTTTCATGGATTAGTTAAATTTAGTTGAAAAAATATAAATAATATTATGTCCAGAGTTATTAACCAATGTACTAAATGAATAAAGTAAAAATAATAGCCAAAGGCACAATATTCACTATAAACTTTATTCAATAATAATATAGTATTATAGCATATCACTTTATTTAACGATGTGATAGTTGCGAAAAAAAAAACAGTAAAGTTAAACTCAATTAAGAGTGTTTATGATCTTATTTGACTGGTCCCGATTAAACGGCATAGCAAGCTTTGGTAAGAAATCTAGAATCGGGAATCATATCGTTATCGGAAAATCTAACTTTATGAACAATATAAAACGGTAATTATTATTTACGGCCGCCGGTCGAGAGCAAAACCATTACTGACGGTTTTCCATGAATTCATCACATGGCTAATAATATTTTTCCACAGTAAATACATTGTAGTATAATACATTTATATATATATATATATAAGCACGGCTTATGTAGCGACAAAATATTACGATAGTTATACATTTGTGACTCGTTGAAATTTACGATCGGTTACAGGTGGCATAGCAGTGGTCGTGTAAAATCTACAATCCACAGTCCGCACCATACCTAAATAATATAAAATATATATATATATTTATATATATAATTTATTAATAATAAAAAAAATAGGTAACAATATTCTTTTATTTCTCCCAACCATTCACAACAATATTATGTTATTATAAAAAAAAGCTATACAGACATACTTAGTGACGAATCATTATTTTAGAGGTAAATAATGGTCATAATAACAATCAATAGAAATGTATCTAGACTGTCGTAAACACGGAAATTTTATACTTAACCGTAACTATTGGATAATTTTTATTGTGGAGGAGAAAGAAGGGATGGGAAATTGAAACAGCCTCATCCCAGAAACAGTATAAGCGTCCTCCATCGAAAAACAGTAAATTTCTAAAAACATACGTTGTAGACAAATAAAAAAAAAAATAAAACATCACGAGAATACATTATTTCAAAATGTACCCGTCAAACGGTAAATAGATAGATCTATTTTGTTTTGGCCGTTATATTATAAGCTTGTACGATGTTGTTATTTTTTTTTATTTTATCAAACAGAAAAACTATACGATATTCAAATGCGGTGCGTTAATACCGCAGTAAAATATACCAATGATGATAAAATTCCGTGCAAAATTACGTAGTCTGGGCTCGTGTATCGGTTGCTTCCGACGAACGTCGTTTGCATTACGATAACCGAATGATCGTGACGGCGGTGCGGTGGCGTGGAATGGAAGTTTCCGCGCGAAATGTCCACCGCGCTCGGCAACCGTACGAATTCCGTGCGGAAAACCAATTATCGGTTCAACTGTAATGCGAGACACGATCCACGGCAAAATTTCGTAACACTGTGGTGTGGAAAGAACGTTTTAAAAAAAAAAATCCCACGTGAATGTAGAAAAAAATACGGTGGATCGGTGGGAGAAACGGCTACGGGACGTACGAGACCTGTTGATTTTTCACCGAAAGTCGTGTTCGAACGTACGTCGCACACATGCACGCGCACACTTACGGATGAGCTTTTGCCGTATCCGCAGTGTACGATTGAAAAATATAAATAACTCTTAATCACTCACCATTACGCGGAGACCACATACACGTACGTATTGCGCAGTCGACCGGGTTGCTGTATAGTTGTCCCTCTCTGACCCGGTGTAAAGGATGTAATTGTACGCTTACGGCGTGTGGGCTGACGAAACTGACGACGGCGAGTGCGTGCGACAGACGATAGTGGCGTGTGCGGACTGTTTTGCGCCGGAGACGGCGGAGAGCGGCCGTCGTGAGTTTTAGCTGTACTCGTCTTCACTGCCGCCGCCTTGATCGACGCGTGCGCGCCGACATTTAAACAGGTGAGACTGCGCCCCCGCGGCCCTTCCTCAAACTACGATCGCCCTTTCCAACCGACAAATTTTTCTGCTAAAATTTATCTCGTTAATTTGTTGTTGTTATCAATTGCGATTGCTCGTTAAAAAAACGATAATAATAATAATAAAACTATACATTACCTACAATAACGCTGTATAACGGTTGTCTAATCTAACTTATCCCACGTAGTAGATTAATATTTAATGCCCGTGATTAAATTGTATAATGGTTCATAAAGTAGACATATTATTTTAAGCTATTCAAATTAAATTTAAAAAAAGTAATAATAATAATAATAATAATAATAATGGAAATGGTAATGATACTCGTACCTGAGTATTGAACCATATTCATTTATTAATATGTACCTACAATTAAATAAACGATTCGAATGCGGCCGCTACCTCAGCTACCAATCCGTTCGCCAATAATTTAAAAATACTATAAAAAAAAATTCAGAAAAAATGATATTTTATTAAATCTACTCGTGTATAAAACACTTCATATTTTATTTTTCTGCAGAATGTACACTCAGTGCTAGTATATTAAGGCTCATCAGTCAAAAACTCGTTACATTTTATTATATACCTATATCATCATGTGTTGTTGAACATGCGTATAATTAAGTGTAATTAGTTATGGAAAGTTTTAAGCTTGTTGTATGCAAATTCAGAAAGTTTTTTTTTAAAGAAAAATAAAATCTATATCTTGGGCATATGATGATTAAAGGCATTTTGAACTGTACTCGGTAGGCAAAAATTAATTATTTGGTATTTATTAATGATCGTTGTATAATTTCAAGTTAATATTATTCATAATTAATTACTTAATCATTATTAATTATAATGCAATAGCAGTTTTATTGTATAATATATGAATCAGTTAGTAATTGGCTCCAATAAATTGTCAACATGATTCATCTGATCATCAAAATTCGTATAGATGGGTAAAAAATCACTACTGATATCTCAAAGTAACACCTATTATAAACACACCACCTGAATAGACGTCGTGCAAACTTTTTATACATAGCCCGAATCAGCCCCAATATTCACCAAGCTATGATGATACGATGTATTTTGAAATCATCTTTAAAAATTGAGTGTCATACTCTATGTAATAAGATTTTATTATAAACAAATATTTTTTTTAATTAAATTTATTGTATTATAGAAAAACTAAAAATATTGATTAGAATAAAGCGTTTCAAAAAGTTTTTATTATTATTATTATAAAAAGTTACTAGCATACAAATATTATAATTATAATAACTATACAGTTACAAAAAAATTTGAAGCATTTAATACAATTAATCAGTTCAATCTATTACACCCAGTAAACGTATATATGTGAATATATAAATAATAAATACATAAGGTGTGTTGATGTACGTAAATTACGTTTATATTATGTATATAAACATAAGTACAAATTAATTGACCAACAAGCATTCTTTCCCCGCTCTGTTTTCTTTAATAATGTAGTATATGCTTAAGTATACATATAAATACTGTGTTTTTAAATACTCGAGATTTTCTGTATCGTTTAAAGTGTGCTCTTCTCTTGACTTCTGTTTTATTTTAATGAAACTACCCTAATCAGTAATCACACTTTTTTATGTAAATTATCCAAGGGATAATGTTTTTGAAAATCTATTAATCTATTAGCGTTATGTATCTATTTTATGTCCTACACGACTTTAATAAATAGTTGGACGCCCTGGCTATTATCATGGGCTATAATTCTTAATACATAAAGTTTAATAAATCGGAAACTACTTTTTCAAATTTTATTTAAATACATCAACATTTTTGAAATAATTATCTTTAAAATGATTAATATTTAAAAAATAGAAGTATATATCAATACATTAATTAATACTTTAAATGGTGCAAGATATTTTAAATATTTTAAAAAAAAAGTATACTTATTTAAGAATTATTCCAAAAATCAAATTTTTAATATTATATGCATTATTATTAAAGAAAAACAGAAGGTGAGTCTCAAAGTATAATGTATAATAATCTACAGTTTTATCCTAACCGCGGGTCCGTGGACTATACTTTTGTATAGATATTTACATACTAATACTATTTTAGTGAGACAAAACTTATTTATAACTATAAATAACTCTGTAAAATATAAACATTAATTACATGGGACTTTTAATCAAACGAAAGTTCGATGTAAAGGTTAAGTAAGGTTATTTTACTGGGTTAATGGTGATCAAATCAAATTTAAAACTTTCAAACTTTCAAGTCATGGTGTTAGTCAACATACCCAAGTTGACCGTAGTAGTAAATAAGTTTTTAAGTGTTTGTCGATATTAGGTTCTGTGAACGTGAAAATTATATTAATAACATAATATATCAAATCGGTTTACTACGCATGTAAAATATTACAACCGTTCAAGATATTAGTTTTACAATTTTTACATTCAATTCTTAGGCACCTAAACCTCAATTTAGTTCAGCACCTTTGTATGTCACAAATAATTATTACAAACTATTGAGAACAATATTTTATTCTAAGCAGATACTATAAAAGTCTCTAAATAAAACTTTTCTTATCTGAATCACAAGAAACGTAAGCTGAAGTCATTTTTCTATTCGTAGCTACTGGTATACGAACATTTCATCCGTTTTTAGAAATTTCACAAATTTTTCTATGCATATATGTTACGGTAGATGACGAAAATTAGTTAATGATTCGATCGTAAAGGTAAGTTGTAAAAAACAAGTTATAAACTCAAATGTCTATATTTTACCGATCATTTACTAAATCTAAAATAAAACATTAATTTTGCTATTATTTTATTGATTGTCTAACTACTTAATTTAATGAAAAATTAGATTAATCGAAATAACTAAAATAGGTGCACAATATTAATAATTAATTGGTGCGATTGATAATACTATGACATTTCGAACTACACAACATTTCTTCTGCATTGCAAGCACATTTTTTTAATATTACAACCAGTTTGTATAGCTGTATCATTAAAGCTTTGATGACTACAGTTACTTCTTGTCCTGTAGCTTAACATAAAGTATTTTCCGTTCTTTAATTTTTTAATGGTTTTATCCAGTTCTATAATTTTTTTTTTACAAGGAGAAATTTGTGCTCTTGTTTATTTTGTGTTTCAACACGTTATATTCTATACCTGTTTTAAACATTCGAGTACTTGTTATTTAAAATTAAATAAATATCGTCAAATTCAAGTTGACTTACATAACTTATACATACTATTTTCACACAAAATAATTACTGCAAATTAAATAGAGAATTTCGAGCCCTATCAGCATCTGGTATTAGAACACGAACAATTGTACTAACTTCGAGCTCTGAGAATTGTTTATTAGTCAATCTTAACATTTATTACGCTTATTTTTTTAGACTAACAACCGATTTTTGTCGTTAGTCATTGATTTTTACCAACTTATATCTCTAGAAAAAGATAACAATTCATTTTCAATCTCCGACTTTACTTCAATGACATAATTTTCAACACTAACTAAATCATATTATGTATATTGTTGCCTCTCTTTTTATTGCTTATAAATGTTACAAGTGCTGCTTTAAATTTTTCTTGATATTCCTTTATTGAATACTAGAACTAAATGAAACCACAACACTGTATTTTAATTAAAAACTTGTTTGAACAGTTCTCGAATAATACAACTTACAAGTACAAATGATTATAAAATACGCACTCCTCGCATACACAATTTGTCAGAGTATAACCGGAGATACTAACTAATAAATTAATAAACCATTTCATATAATTACTTAGGTTAACCCTAATTGGATTTTTGCTTGTCTATCTAAAATCGTCATGATATTTTTAACAAACGAAGCTAAGTTGTAAATACACTTATTACTTGACGTTCTTGAACGTCGTTCACACAGATATAAATTAATTGAACATCATTCTCCAACTTAACTGGTAATTGACGTTAATAACCGGGGAATGTCTTCATTTACAACATTTACTATGTTTACATTATTCACCGTAACGTATATTATGTAGAAAATATCTGCTGTAGCAACATTAAAAAATTATCTCACTAAAGTATAGCGAATTGCAACTATATTTTACAGTTTCTTATTTAAGAAGTAGACACATAAACATTTTAGAGTGCTCTCTCTAAAACATGATTACATGAAACATAAAATGAACACAAATAATTCAAAAAAAAAACCCTATTATAAATCCAATGCATTACATGATATTTTAAAAACGTCCAAAAATTTTTTAAATATTGTATTACATTGCATAATAACACTAGGGAAATATTTTTAAACACAACTATTTTATCATACACAAATTAAAAATTAACTGCCAAAAAGCCAAAAAAAAAATTTTTTTATATATTATGCATTTAATGTTATTAAATTTGGACTTTATTTCTTTATTTTTATGATAATTTAATTTTGAGATTCATAATGGTAGATTTGAGCAGCTTTATATTATCATAATTCACAGTAAATACTATTCATACGAGATATATCATAACATTCATAACTATATTATAATATACAAGCTGCATGCCTGGTTATAAGGAGAAGTTTTACATTGGACGAAGATTGTTTTTCACTAAACAATATACATACTGTGTACATCGTAAATGTGCACATATATGTGTCAACATATACATTAGTTTTGCTTAAAAAATCCCGTTTTTCTGTTTATATTAAAAAGTATTGGATATTTTTTTTACTTTTTACACCCTAACGTATCAACTAGATTTAACTTTTTATCAAAAACTACACTTAAAAGTTGAAAATCGAAGCATTTTTAGTGTCAAATAATTGCATTGCTTTAATTAAAATCTAAAATATTTCTATGAGGAACAAGAACACAAAATATTTCAAGAAATTTAAATTTAGGTAAAATATCTTTTAGAAAGGTAATAAAT